TTTTTTTATATTTACCCAATAGTCAAAACAAAACTTGTACTAATACATTTATATCTTTAGGTATATTATTAAAACAATTAATTTATCTTCACATATCTTTGAGACCAAAATTTATTTCAAGCAAAAATTAGTTTAAATATTTTAAAAGTTGTACTAATACATTTATATTTTTTAGTATATTATTAAAACAATTAATTTATCTTCACGAATCTTTAGACAAAATTTTAATTCAAACAATAATTAGTTTAAATCTTCTCAAATTCCTTAATGAACTAATCAATTTTAGTTTTATGTAATAAATAAATGTCTAATAGTAATTGCCAAATTTAGCTAAAATATTTAGGCGGGAAAATTTGTGACAAATATAGTAAAATGGATTGGTCCATTATATAGATATAGATATAGATATAGATACAATACACGGGTGCTTGTTAAAAAATTATTCTTAAATTTTAAAATTAACGAGAAACTATATTAAATTTAGTTTACTTTTTTACAAAAAAATATATTACTATATATTGTAGAATGATATGTGTTACTTATGACTTACATGTTTTATATTATATTATTTCTTATAACTTATATCATATAACTACTTGAAATATAAATATATTAGTTGATAAATAATTTTATTTTTCTAATTAATATTAAAAATAATTTTATTATTGTTATAAAGATAAATATAAATTATTTTTTTATACATACAATAAATCGAAGCTCATCAAAAGAAGATTAATTTGATATATTACATATGTAAAACTGATAAAAAATACAAAAGTTATTAACTTTTAAAATATATATGCAATTCAATAGTTATAATAAAGAATGATATTAAAATGCAATTAATACATGTAACATGACCATAAATGATCAACATATTTATGGTAATCCGAACCTAATTATTTTTAGTTTGGATTTAAATTAAAATTTACCCAAGCCTAATAACGAAGCATGTAATTTTGCCACATAGGATTTCGAAGCACCAGAAGCAGCCACGTAGGCTCAACGCGTTCTGAATTAATATAATACTAGTACAACGCCCGTGTATTGCACGAGTGCTTGCTAATTTTTTCTTAAAATCTAAAAATAATGAGAAAAAATAGTTAAAATTTTAAATACCTTTTATAAAAATATATATATATTATTATATATTTAGTATGACACTAATTTTTTGCGCAACTTACATGTGTAATATTATAATATTTTTTTAGCTTACAACATATAACTACATTAAACATAAATATATCAATTGAGAAATAATTTTATTTTTTTAATGAATTTTAATAAATATTATTATTTTTTATTATTATAAAGATAAATATAATTTATTTATTTCATATATACAATATGGATGTCAAATCGAAGATCATCAAAAGATGATTAATTTGCTATATTATATATGTAAAAGTGATAAGAAATACAAAAGTTATCAATTTTTAAATACATTTATACTTCAATTGCTAATTGAAGGAAACAAATCAAAAGTCAGGGATATATTAGTCACTTAGTGTCTCACTATGTAAAATACAAAGAAATAAAGGGTTATATTAGTACAAGTGATATTAAAATATCTAAGTTAGCTAAATAATATTTATGGAATATCCAAACCTAAATTATTAATTATTAATATATCAATATTATTTGTCCAAACCTAATTACGAAGCATGATTCTTTGCTAAGTAGGATTTCGAAGCACCAGAAGCAGCCACGTAGGCTCAGCGCATTCGGAAATAATATATAAGGAGGATATATAAGGGGGAGGGGGATATATCCCAACATATTCTCATTTAATAGATCATATTTTTTCTTCTTAGGCCATCTCCAACCGAAAATCCCATACTCAAACCCATTTTGCAGTAATGTCACATTTTGCAGTAATTTATCTCCAACCGAAAACCCCATTTTCAAACCGAAAAGAATATTCTCGGAATATTCTATTTCACATTAACTTTAACAACTTTTCAATACTACCCACATATTTTACAACTTTACAAATTAAACCACACCATTAATATTGTTTGTAGATTTTTTTATTTTAAAAATATACTAATATATAATAATAATAATAAATAAAATAATATTCAACTTGACAATAATTACTAATACTAAATAGGGATCTTCTACAGTCAGGTCATGGTTGTACCTATCTAACATCAGGTAACCCCCCTTTTCACCGTTGGATTGACTAAGATATGACAATGAACGATGGATTGAAGGGTACAAGGGAAAAAAGAATTTTGGTAGTCTTGTACTCTCTCTCGTACCCCTCGTACTTGTAAATTCCTATTATACCCTTCGTACCCCTTGTACCTATTTTATTTATTCTCAAGCCCACATATACTTTTGTAAATTACATAACAATCCTACAAATTTAAAACAATTTCATCACAACCTAAAATTATATTTTAAGATTCCAATCCGTCGTCTTCATTTGGGAAAAGAAAA